CCCCCCCCCCACATCCCTGCATGAATCCCCTTAATTCCTCTCACATGATTCAATTATTAGTATTCACTTGCTATAGAGACAAGCAACGTGCTTCACCTGGGCTGTGCTGCTGAGGCATGGGCAAAAATTGCCCTCTGTGCCGATAACACGTGGCCTGGCCTTCACATAAGGGCCCCATAGAGAGAGATGTACAATGTTTCTGTGCATAAGCAGAGAGACTAGAGATGTAAAATTTCCGGAAACGGGGGAAACGGAAATTTTCGGAAAAATTGAAAAAAATGCTACATTAGCATTTCTTTTGTCTTTTCTAGATTGAAAGTCATTCTGTTACTTTAGGAACATAAAATATGACTATGGACATTTTTACTTGGCATGAAATTATCACAACTAGCATATTCAAAATATAGTGTATCCAAACATTTAGTACAAACAGAATACCCACCCACATGCAAAAAGAAAACTGAAACTTTAATTTTCTTCTGACAATCGCACCTCCTAAAGGAAGAAATGCATCTTGTTCTTGCATTGGAGAGTTCAGTTTGTAACCTAGGACTTACTTGTCCTCAGTGTACAGAAATTAGATCAATCTGATACCATATATATATATTTTAGAAATGATTTGGTAAATATTTGAACACCTTGTCTTAAAATATTTTATTAATCATGTTAAAATAAAACGTTCCATAATCAATTTTTTTGCTTTTCTTTTCTTTTTTCAATTTTTCCAATTTTTCGGGGGAAAACAAAAAGGCTTCAGGAAAAAAACGGGAAAAAACCAGGTTTCCCCCCGAATTTTTCCTTTTTTTTTCCGGGCCTTCACATCTCTAAGAGAGACGCGCGGCACCATTACAGGGTCCTCCCAATATAGAGGCCCTTCTTACACACATGCACACTACATAGATCCAGGTAGTCTGCCGTGTTGGTCTGAAGCAGTAGCACAAATCTAGAGTCCAGGGGCACCTCTAGGACCAACAAAGGTTTATTCAAGGCGTGAGCTTTCGTGGGCAAGGCACACTTCCTCAGATACAGTGGAATGGGAAATAAGGTTCAAACTTACAGATGGGCTGAACAGCAAATTAACATGCAACATGATGAAGATGTTTTAAGCTATGCAAAAACAGAATTAAATAACAAGCTAAGGTTATACGGTCAACAGTGGTAAAGCAATAATTTCAGTTCAAGATACGTATACCTTCAATGCATCACTTAAATTCTATCTATGGCAGGTTCCGTCTAGGGAATAACTGTGGGAACTGAATGCTGGGAATCAATAGGTGAACTGGGTCCCCCCACAAAAAAGGCTAAAAGATTTTGAAATTTTGCTCCTTGCAACACACTCTGCTGTGTTTACCTAGACAAACTGAGGACAAGGTCTGCCAAAAAGGGGAGCTATTTTTACTAATCACAATGTCGCTGTGATTTATTTTTTTTTTTAAAAAACCCACAACTACAGAACAAGGACAGATTCGGGCGGGGTAGCTGTATTGGTCTGAAGCAACAGAACCTTTCAGACCAACAAAGTTTTATTATGGGTATAAGCTTTTCGTGTGCATGCACACTTCTTCAGGTAGCGGAAGACGTGTACGTCTACACGAAAGCTTATACCCAGAATAAAACTTTGTTGGTCTGAACGGTGCCTCTGGACTCAAAACTTTATTCAGCTACAGAAGAAAACATTTTTGGACTCTACTGTTGCTTATAACAATGTTATAACTAGTCTGGATGGGTGTTTATTTCTTTCAGGAACAAAGCCAGCCTGTAATAAGAAGGAAAACATCTATTACTTTGTGGTAAGCAAGATATCTGAAGGGGGAGGCTTACAAATCCCCCTGAGGCCCTCCCTGGGGAGAGAGCCTAGAGCTACAAAGCTGTGCCTCTAGATCAAGAGATGGAACTTCTGCCGGCCAATTACATACAACGTAACTAAGAGACTCAGGGCACCTGCTGATTCACAAAGCAGAGTTTGGCTCTGACTGGTGGCTCAGGACCCAGCTGGATGGAGGTGGGAATAGTGCTAATAGCAGAATCCCCTAGGCTCCCTCCTCCCACTTGCAATTTTACCCGCCTCCCTATAGATTGAGTGTTAGGGCAGACCTCAAGGCCGGGCAATTTGACATGCAGAAGGTCCTGGGTTCAATTGCAAGCATCTCCATTTAAGGGGGCTGGTAGAGATTTTCTTGACCCTCCTACCTCAAACTTACACAGTCATTTCCCTATCAAGCCTACTACTTTAACAACATAAAATCAGGACCTTAAATTGGACTGTGTGTCATGTCGATAGAATTTAAAAGTACAAGTGCCTCAGATTTTGACCAGTGATGGTCCAGTGAGATGGTTCCGTACAAGGCAACTCCTTCTGTCCTTCAAGAGCTTGCAAAGGCTAGCTGAACCAATGGAAAAGCAAATGGCTCTCAAGTCACTCAAAATCTCAGGCCAAGTAAGACAAAATTAAATAATTAGCAGCGCACACTTATTTATTTGCAGTTTGTGCTTTTTCATAAACAGCTTGGGGGGGGGGGAATCTAAGGCCCTGGTCAGTCATATACCTAGACATCTGGTACAGGCATGTCCAGGAATCTGAAATCACTCTTCTGATTCTGACAACGTTGGCACTTGAAGATTTGGTGCCAACCAAGTTAGTGGTAATTTTTTTCCAGCATTCCTCATGTATAATTCTTGTGCAGCAAACTTAACAGCAATTTAGTCCAGAAAGGAATTAAGATACCCCCTCCACCCCCACGAACCCTTACAGAGGGCTATTTTTGTAGCAGGAACTCATTTGCATATTAGGTGACACACCCCTGATGTAGCCAATCCTCCAAGAGCTTACAGAACTCTTCTTACCGGTGCCACTGTAAGCTCTTGGAAGATTGGCTACATCAGGGGTGTGTCACCTAATATGCAAAGGAGTTCCTGCTAGTATGCTAGTGGGCACATAATTTTTAAGAATCTCAGCTTTCATCCCCCCCCTCCCCCGCTAACACAAGTTTCTGATCCTTAACAGCTATGATATGCATGAAAGTGTATGGGCAAAACCTGCTGAAATTTCAAAATTCAAAACTGTAAACAAATACGATTTTCAGTGGTTGAGGGCGGGGTGGCATTGTCCACGTCCTTCCCACGAACAGCAAAAACAAATCAAACAAGTCTTAGATAAGTAGACTGTGAATAGACTAAATAAATAAAATATGCAAAGTAGTAAAAATGCAGAATAAAGAAAACTAAAAGAAATTTTTGCAAACACGAAGTAACAGACTATTTGGCTGTGATCACACACACTAAATAATGCACTTTCAATCCACTTTCAATGCACTGGATTTTACTGTGTGAACTGGCAAAATCCAGTTGGAAAGTGCACTGAAAGTGCTTTATTTAGTGTGCATGATCTATGTATTTTTACAGGTTACAGAATGCAACTTTTCTCAGCGCAGGACTGGACTGCCTAAACACAAAATGTTATGTTTATTTTTAAAGCACAGATTACACACCAAGATGAAGAGTCTGCTTTGTCACACACTGACTTTTCTGCTATGTAGATTTCTCACCACTGGGAGCTACCGGCTGCTGCAACACATCAGTGCCCCTCTGGGTGTAATAAGCAACAAGCAGCCCAATCCACCCAACCAGGTTGCCCCCCCCCCAGGAGTTCTTATACCAAGAACGCACCCCAAGCGTCACCTACAGCCGTCCCCACTAGGTGGCATCTGCGGATGGAGGCCTTAGTCAACAAAACCTTCTGCTGGGATAAATTCTTGTTTGTCTTTAAAGCACCACAAGAGTTCTGTTTACTTTTGCTGCAATGGGTTACTTGGCTACCTATCTGGAGTTTCCTCCCCACCCATGGATACCTTCACTTCTCACTCAAATATGCGTGACAACTCATAGCTGCTCTGACCAGGAAAAACAAAACACAACAAAACCACGTAATTCCTTTTACTGAGGCCAACCCAAATGATGCAAAATTGTGCAAGCTTTCAAGGACTACGAAACCCTTTGTCAGGCAGATGTTCCAAAAATTTTAAAAATGAAGGGGGGGGAGGGAATCAAATTTTCCAGGTCCAGTGCTTAAGCCCCTATTGTGCTAGGCTTTGAGGACGGGTGCTGGCAGGATTATAGGCTGATTGTTGTATGTGCTGGATTACAATGCTTGCATTTTAGAAAGAAGAAATCGGTCCCATTCAATGCTTCCTCTAAGCTGTGGAGTCTTGTGAGCAAAAATTCTACTTTGTGAGCTACTGGCATTAAAGTTGGGAGCCAGCCATTTGGCTGCTGCATCAATTAGTTTGCTCTGGAGCCCTCCTTCCTGAGCTAAGATAAAAATGTGTGAGCCGGAGGCTAAAAAAACTGTGAGCTAGCTCACACTAACTCAGCTTAGTGGGAACACTGGTCTCATTATGTATAAAACTGGTGGGAGTCTTCTCTGACCCCATCTGTACCAGCGTATCCTTTGCAACTATCTTACTCTTCTGCTTCACCGTGGACTCTAACCTGTGAAAGCTTTTGTCCTTGCCACAAGACTTAAACTTTTTTTCCCTTTGCTGCAACAGACTTAACAAGGCTATCTTTCTAGAATTCAATCACTTATGCAATGTATTTCAAAACTAGCTCAGATTTCAAAGTTAGAATCCAGAAAAGGGCTAGGGAGTACGTGTACTTGGAAGCAATTCTAGAAGAATCAAATAGACTTCGGCATGAAACTG